TTTGAATGTAAGATGATGCAATGGATATATATTAATTTGTTTATTAAAATACTTTAGTATATGTTTGAGAGAGAGAGTTTGATAGCAAAATAATGAAAATAATTATCAATAGTTAATGAAATATAGAGTTAAAAAAATAATAATGGAGGCAATCCTGATTGGTGTTAGGAAAGTAATTAAAAAAAAAAAAAAAGGAAAAAGAGGTGGGGGTTGGGCGTGAGAGTGATGGGCTGGTTGTGGGGGTGAGGAATGATGTGGAGGGCATAGGAGACCAGACAAAAATTTCTATCTTAATTATGTGACGAATTATTTTATTAGTATAACATTATAGGATAGCATAAAGTCTGGAGGTTTGCACGTCTTATTTTATATATATATATATATATATATATATCTCAAACACCTAGGCATCATGTCATATCACCTTTTATCTCATCAAAGTAAGGTACAATTATATCGTGTCATGTTTGAACACAATTTTTATGTAAATTTGACAGGTTACCAATAAATAACTTTTTTAGGCAAATAATGATAATATTTAAAAAAAATTAGCTTAAAATGTGAATATTTTGATTGGTTCTATAATATTAAAAAACAATATTTTTCTTAATTAATTTTTGAATTTTTACATGACCTGCCTTCATCCATCTGGAATTTCAGGTTAATCAGTAAAAAAGTGAGGGGGTGGAGTGGTGGTGGGGGAAGGAAGATTAAGACCAGGTCCATCCATTAAAGGTTCGGAAAATTCTAAATTTCAGAAATCAGACCCCATTCATTCAGTCACCTTTCTTTAGTCTTTTCTATAAATATATTTATAACTGTTTATTAATAAAGTTGGAGTTAACAGGTAAAAGGTTAAAGAAAAAGTTGATTGGACCAACTTTGAAGCTGAACCCCCCCAGTAAGTTCACTGCACATTTTTCGTATTCTTATTACTTTTATGCATTTGTGTTCACTCGATGTTGGCCTCCACCACAAAGACTGGTTCACCTTTAAATTATAGTTACAATATTCATTAATATTATTTCTTATGTTGATATCACAAACACAAGATATGATAGGAGATGCCTTCTGGTTTGCGGCTTACTTTTTTTAACTTACTTCAGAATATCATAAACCTAGCTGATTTTATGCCTAATAAAATGAAGCAAATAACATCTTTCTCTCATCCTTGTTGTATAAGCTTTATAATTTATTATATATTATAATCTTATTGCAAACTTTTTAACAGTGGAAGTTAATGACACCGCTGGCCATTCAATCAAAAAGGAGAGTTCGGAACTGGGGACCAACTTTATATTTAATTAATGAATTTTTAAGTTATATAAACTTGAAAGTGTACAAGTTTATGAATGAATTTTTAAGGGCAAATTAATACGTAAAATCAACAAAGGTTATTAAATAATTAGGTTTAGCAGTGGTGGCTTAAAACACACCACAAGAATTGTTGGACCTCTGAGATTGTCTTTTTCATAAGTTATATTTTATGTTTCTAATTAGTTGTCCAACACTATGTTGCCATCCTAATCCATTCTTTTGTTATAGCAACAGTTGAATATTTGGGCTAATTTTTAAATCACTATTGTAAGCTTTCCTTTTATTAGAACAGCATTATTACCCAACAATCCAAATGGGTACAAATTTTACATCTTCAATCTATGGGTTTATAATTTTTTATTTATTAAAAAAATTGGGATATAATAAGTTATTAAAAAAAGAAAAAACGAAATTTTAATTTTTTACGTGAAGAGTTAAGTGAATAAATCCTGAAATTCATGTTTTATGATTAAACTAGTATTGAGATAATTGGTTAATTAGGGGCAATGATTTCCAATAGACAAGGAGATAACAGGTGTACAAATTCTTTTATAGAATACTCAATAATGCATTTATAAGGCGAGAGTGAGAAGAGGTGTTTATAAGCAAAGAGGGAAGTCGTTCTCAGTAGTAAACGACTTTAAAAATATATAATTAATTAAATAGGTGAATATTGTACATACGAAGGTGTATACTGTATACTAAATGCTGCTGACCAAATTACTTGACTTTGAATTAAATACATTATCATATCCCTGATGGAGAGAACTGTGTCGCTTTTATCGCTCCATTCTTAAAATAAAGATATTTATCCCAAAAAGTAGACATTAATTTGCTAAAGTACTTGTATTAATTTCATTAATAACTATTAGTAAATAGATTAAGCAAAATAATAATAAATTTACCACACGATATTACGTTAATTAAGAAGAAAGTACAATAATAAGCTAGTTAGGGTCAGCATGATGTAACACGTGTCACATTTCCCATGTGTTTAATTTATAATTTAATATGGGTGACTTAAGCCTGGTTGTTGAGGAGCTCCACCTGTTCAAACTTGAAATTAATTAATTAATTAATTAAAACAAGAATTGGTCATGCTTCCTTGTCCTCCACAGAAAAGATCACAATTTAAACAAGCAGTCACCAAATCACATTCATGGGCCAAACAAACCATTATTTTGGGAAAGATAATCCCAAATATTATGCATAAAAGTCATCGGTTTAATTTATAGGAGTACTTTAATTAAACATATTACCAAGTCCTCCACGTGTCTATATATATACAGTATATATATATACATATATACATATATCCAACACTCCACCCAACACACACTTAATATTCTCATTAAAGGAAAAGAAAAGAGTTGATTTAATTAAAAAAATGAATAATTAATATAGGCAGCCGTGTGTTAAAGCACGAGTCACATTACGAGCAGTTGTTTTGGATATGATGAAGAGCAACGAAAGCAAAGTATGATCATTGCTCTCATGGAAAATTAAATACAATTACCACCGCCCTATGTTATGGACTGATGTCACATATTATTTATATTCTTGGTAGGTGCCGGCTCGACCTCCCTTCTTTTTGGCAATTCTCCATCAATTACTTTTAACTTAAATATAACATTCTTCATCTCAACTGACAGTGATGCTGCTTCCTTTTCTGCAGCACCTAAATCAATAAAAAAACTATATAATCTGTTGTGTTGAATCGTTAATATTTTTGGATTTGATGTGAAAAATATATTTATATATTAGACCAGGATGTTTTCGTGGTTATTATAAGAGAAAATGAAAAATTATAGAAAAAGAAAAAGAAAAAAAAGGAGATAATTATGAACTACATCACGGTGATGTAATGAAAGAATTGTTCAACATAGAATCAATGGACAAAATATAGTTGGATTTGCTTGTCCAAATTACACCTGTTGTTGTTGACTGTAGTTACGAGTTTGTTAAGTAGCCTAAGAACTGAACATCCATCATGTTTNAAAAAAGGAGATAATTATGAACTACATCACGGTGATGTAATGAAAGAATTGTTCAACATAGAATCAATTTCCCAGTGGACAAAATATAGTTGGATTTGCTTGTCCAAATTACACCTGTTGTTGTTGACTGTAGTTACGAGTTTGTTAAGTAGCCTAAGAACTGAACATCCATCATGTTTTTCTTTTTGATTGAAGTGGTTTCTAGTGATGGGTTGAATAAAAAGGAAAGAAGAAAGTTGTTCCAACACGGCACTATAACTAAAATGCACAAAAAAATGTGAACGCAATCCAGATTGGTCACGTTGACATGGTGTTGAAAATAGTGGTGGTTTGTGCTATCTCTTTACTTTTTGCCCTTTCTGTCTCAACATCAGTTGTGTCCCCAGCACTACTCTTATGCTTTTCTCCTGTTAAGTGTTATCTTCCATCTCTTTGAATTTTTACTTCAACCATTGTGGGCTCTATTCTTTGTCAAATCATGACTCATACAGTGTAATTGCACCAGTCAATCTGCTCTGCTCCATCTTTTTGACAGATTTTACAACTTTCTCCACCTAACTTCATTAAGATGTAAATATTTATTTGGAGTGAGATGCAAAAAAAATCAGTTAGTTTTTTTAGTAAGAGGGTGTCGATAATAAATGAATGAAGGCTATGTTTGATCTAACTTTTAAGTCTATGTAATTGAAAGAACCACAAACCACAAAATAAAAAACAATAAAAACAGATGAAGCAAATGAAGAGTGTGATGTCCCCAGTTTTGACTAGGGGGGTAGTGAGTTGGGCTATAAGGCACATGTCTAAAGCCTGCAGGTTTTTGCAAGGCCTACAACGGACCCCGGATTGTCGGCTTTTAAATAGGTTAGGGTTCAGAATTCAGATTGCTTTGGCCATCAATGAGATATTGTGTTTCGTGCCTATGTCTACTTTGTGGTTCAAATTAAGAATTTTAACTATAGTAGTGAGCCTCAATTCTGACTGACTACTTCAAACAATTGAAATGATTAACAAATTGATGTGTACAAATTCGTATTAAGAGTGATATGAGAATCCTAGGTAGCAATGAATGACAGGTGTACGGGTACGATGATCATGATATGTCATTCCATCACCCCGCTATATTTCAAATCCAATATAATATTGTAGTAACATATAATAATACTAGTATGAGCGAAATACATGTATTAGAAAAAAGCGGAACTTACCAAGCTCAACTCACTCAGTTATTTATAAATGAAAAGCCCATTTTTCAATTTGGGCCTAGGAAAGCCCAATATAGGTTTTAACGGCATCGTNACTTCAAACAATTGAAATGATTAACAAATTGATGTGTACAAATTCGTATTAAGAGTGATATGAGAATCCTAGGTAGCAATGAATGACAGGTGTACGGGTACGATGATCTCGATATGTCATTCCATCACCCCGCTATATTTCAAATCCAATATAATATTGTAGTAACATATAATAATACTAGTATGAGCGAAATACATGTATTAGAAAAAAGCGGAACTTACCAAGCTCAACTCACTCAGTTATTTATAAATGAAAAGCCCATTTTTCAATTTGGGCCTAGGAAAGCCCAATATAGGTTTTAACGGCATCGTCTGCAACTAACAAGCCACTCTGACCACCTGCCTAACTCTTAACTACAGTTGGGGAGAATTGAGAACTGAATATCTCCTCTTCACACGAAAAATAATTCAACTCGCAAAGAATAATAATGGGTTTACTCTCACAGAAAACCCTTTATTGTTTAACAAAAAGAAGTGAATTCATGGTCAAAATGACAAAAGTCTCTCGTCTCAAATCCAAGCAATTTTGCACTTCTCAAAATAGCCAAGAAATAGTGACAGAAATCACAAAACTTCTCCATCAGGATCGCTGGAAGTTTCTCATTGAATCATCACAAATACCCCAGAAGCTAAACCCAGATTTGGTTCAGTCTATTCTTCAACAAAACCAGGTACAGGACCCCAAACGCCTATTTGCATTCTTTAACTGGGTCAATACTCGACTGGGTACCCGCCAAAATTTGAGTTCTTTTTCATATCTAGCAATAATATTGTGTAAGTCGAGGCTTTTTCATTGTGCTGTTCGTGTGATTGATGGAATGATTGGTACCAAGCAGTCACATTTTCAGATTTTGGAGTCATTGCTTGGATGTTACAAAGAATGTAATGAGAGAGATGTGCCTGTTTTTGAATTGTTGATTGATTGTCATAAAAAGGTCGGTCTTTTGGATGAAGCTACTAATGTGTTTCTTGGTGTTGTTAAAGAAGGTGGGCCAGTGCCTCGTTTGGTGTGTTGTAATTCCTTTTTGAAGGATTTGTTGAGGGGAAATAGAGTGGACTTGTTTTGGAGGGTTTATGATGCAATGCGAGAAGCTAAGGTCACTCCCGATGTTTACACTTATACTAGTCTGATTACTGCTCATTTTGTGGTTGGGAATGCTAAGGAGGGTAAAAGGGTCCTTTTTGAAATGGAGGAGAAAGGTTGTAGTCCGAATTTGATTACTTATAATGTGGTTATTGGAGGGTTGTGTAGAGTTGGGGCTGTTGATGAAGCTTTTGAGCTAAAGGAGAGCATGGTTCGTAAGGGCTTGGCTCCTGATGGATTTACTTATGGTATTCTTATTGATGGGTTCTGTAAACAGAAGAGATCGGGAGAGGCGAAGTTGATGTTGAAGGAGATGTGTGATAGGCATGTAAGTCCTGACCAGGTTGTGTATACTGCTTTGATTGATGGGTTCATGAAACAAAGTGACGTGGAAGAAGCTTTCCGACTAAAGGAAGAGATGGTTGCATATGGTATTAAATTAAATCGTTTCACCTTTAATTCACTTATTAGTGGAATTTGTAAGGTTGGTGAGATGGAGAAGGCAACAGCTCTATTAAATGAGATGATTGCAATGGGGATAGATCCTGATACACTGACTTACAATTATTTGATTGAAGGATACTGCCGAGGGCATAACATGGTTAAGGCTTATGAACTACTTGCTGATATGAAGGGAAGGAACTTGGCACCCACGGTGTACACCTGTGGTGTGATAATAAATGGCCTATGTCGTTGTCGAGATCTTGAACGGGCTAATATGGTTTTTGAGGAAATGATTGCTGGTGGTCTGAAACCAAATAATGTTATATATACAACCCTTATCAAAGGTCATGTTCAGGAACACAGATTTGAAGAGGCAATAGATTTTCTAAAGGTAATGTCCGAGAAAGGTGTTTTGCCCGATGTCTTTTGCTACAATTCTCTTATGATTGGCCTCTGCAAGGCCAAAAAGATAGAAGACGCCAGGAATTACTTAGCTGAAATGATTGCAAGGGGATTGAAGCCTAATGTTTATACTTATGGGGCTCTAATTCATGGATATATCAAGGCAGGTGAGATGCAAGCTGCAGACAGGTATTTCCACGACATGCTTGGTTGTGGCATGGCTCCAAATGATGTCATTTATACAAAGCTGATAGATGGACACTGCAAAGAGGGCAACATAAAGGAAGCCTTTTCAACATTTCGATGCATGCTTGGACGAGGGGTAATCCCAGATGAGAAGACTTACAGTGTCCTCATTCATGGTCTCTCCAGGAGTGGAAGAATTCATGAAGCAGTGGGGGTATTCTCTGAACTCCGTGACAAGGGTATGGTGCCAGATGTTTTTACTTATAGCTCCCTCATTTCCGGCTTTTGTAAGCAAGGTGATATGCAGGAGGCTTTCCAACTTTTTGAAGAGATGTGCCAAAAGGGTATTTCTCCAAATATTGTTACTTATAATGCCATGATCAATGGCTTATGTAGGTTGGGTGAAATTGAGAGAGCTAGGGAGCTATTTGATGGAATCTCTGGAAAGGGTTTGGCTCCTAATGGTGTGACTTATACTACAATTATAGATGGATACTGCAAATCTGGTAATTTAACTGAGGCATTTCGGTTGTTGAATGAGATGTCATCAAGAGGGGTTCCTCCTGATAGTTTTGTTTACTGTGCCCTAGTTGATGGGTGCTGCAAAGAAGGAAATATGGAGAAGGCTCTGTCCTTGTTTCCAGAAATGATTCAGAAGGGCTTTGCTTCCACTTCTTCTTTCAATGCTTTGATTCATGGTTTATGCAAGTTAGGGAAAATCAATGTACCTAATAGTCTGTTGGAAGACATGGTTGACAAGCACATCACACCAAATCATGTGACATACACGATTCTGATTGATTATCACTGCAAGGCAGGAAAAATGAAGGAGGCGGAGCACCTCTTACAGGCGATGCAAAAAAGGAATTTGATGCCGAATGTTATAACTTACACTTCACTTTTACATGGTTATGACAGAATAGAAAACAGATCTAAGATGTTCTCTCTTTTTGATGAGATGGTGGAGAGAGGAATTGAGCCTGATGGAATAATCTACAGCATGATACTTGGTGCTTGCTTAAAAGAAGGTAATTTGGTGAAAAAAATTAAATTGGTGGATGAAATATTTGTTAAGGGTGTGGCCATAAACCAAAATTTGTACGATTCACTAATAAATTCCCTATGCAAAGAGGAAGAATTTTATGAACTGTTGAAGTTGCTTGATGAAATGAGAGAGCAAGAAGCTAAGCTTAATCTTCCTTCATGTTGCACTCTCATCCGTGGTTTTTATGAAGCAGGAAATAGGGACAAAGCAGCCACGCTTCTGGAAAATATGGTCCGGTTTAGATGGGTCGCAGACTCCACTGTTATAACCGACTTTGTCAAAGAAGACCAAAATGCTACAAACTCTGAGAATGCTGTCAATTTCTTAAAGCAAGCAGCAATTGGAGGTGTGCATCAAGTGTAAACTTACGTGCTGGAGAAGAGATCTGGAGTTTCTGGCCTTTGAACTATTTCCTTCTTTGCCTTGTGAAATGTATTATGGGAGCTGACCCCATAAAATACAGGGAGCTAACTCTATGTTGGCCATTAGTTTAGCAAAATATGGTGGCAGCCAAAATATGATCAAGTTCACTGCATAATACTCTTCATCAACAAATCATGGAGGAAATTTTATAAACCTGGGTTCCAGATTCCAATGGTAAATTTTTTTTTTTTTCTACATATTTCTGTAGAAAACTCCATGCATATATGTTTAGTGCCTTAATCTACTACTATGGTGGGGTTGATAGAGCTTTTGATGCTTTTCGAAATTTCATCCCTTGCAAAATCTATAACAGAATTAACACTGCAGAAACTCATTTGGTGCTTATCTTGGAAACAATTTTTGTTCATATAGCATCTTTTGTAACTTCTGACATTATGGATTTGCTACAAATTGGTTCTTACAGCTTTTTACTTGAACAGGTAGAGATGAGAAAGATGACTGCGGATTGTTGGCCAGTGATGACAGGGGCATAGAGTAAGTTTGGTGGTGACTGGTGAATGGCGATTGTGAGCAGTCAGTGGTAGAGGCAGATGGGACGAATATTCACCTGAAGTAGTAGTAGGAATGATGCAAGTAAAATGAGGGGGACAACTAATTTAACCTTTATCTTCTTACATTGCAATGGCTTCTGCCATCATTGGAATGGCTCAGCTGAGGAACATCTGTAGTAAGATGATGAGTCTAAGAGTTCCGGAGAGAAGAGAAAGTGGTAAATCTTTCTCTTATCAGTCACTGAGCAGATGGTTGACTCTCCAATATCCGAGGTGACCCCTTCCATGCTTATTTATTTGTATAACCCTTCCATCCTTAGAAAGTAAAAGTAAAGGTGCCATTGATTATGTATATGTTAAATGCATATGCATATGAATTATATTTCTACATACTGGGCACTATCAGAATCGATTTTATTACCCAGCTTTACATGTGATAGAAAATTTACAAAAGTTTATATATTAAGCTTCTGCCTTACAGCCTTACCGACTAATGTTTCCCTATTAATTAAACATCTTTCTTGAGAAGGTTCAGGAATTCAAAGATTAACATTATGCACTTGATTTGCCAATGATATTAATTTAATTTTTTTGACTATATGATTTATCCCTTGAAAGTTGAGCATTGTACATTTGCCTGCTGGCATAGTTTGGTTAAATTTCCCCTTTTAACTGTCATGGAATTTCTGAGTTATTATGTACACGGACCTAATTCCTAATTAAGGAAAAATGACAACTATTGAAGAGGCAAAAAAGCACCTACAACAGAGCCTCAACAGAAAAAAAACCTAATTGTAGCCCTCAACGAAAATGATTTTTTTGTTTTTGATAGAAGTCCTCAACCGCATGACTGAATTACAATATTGGGTTTAAGCAAAAGGCAGCATGAGGCAGACTGTGTCAATTGTCTAAATTAATTATACAAAGGTCGTCCCCTCAATCCTTACCGGCAATCCCCTTTTGTCTTCCTTCGGATAATTCTCTCACCATATCATCTGTTCGTGCCAAAAACCTCATTCTCTTGCAAGGCTGTAGATGCTAGCTTGAGTGGAGTATTGCCACCTCTATCAACAGCTTGCGGATCAGCTCCCCTGTAGTAACATTGCTAAATCTATGAGTGGTGTTTTTCCACATTGGAAAAAAATTAGCAGGTGAATTCAGAACATGAGTAAGCATTAGGTACATTTTCTATCAATAGTCACTACAATAGATCACTTATACTATAAATGACTTTGTGTTAACATCACAGTCAAAGAATTCAAGAAGAAGAATGTAGCGGATGATAAACGTCGATAAAATATAATCCCTAGATGAGAACGTAAAAAAAGACAAAGCGAGGAATTACCTTGCAAGAAGCAGTTTTGCAATTGAAGTTCTCCCACTTATTACAGAATGATGTAGTGGCGTCCTACCTCTTGAATCAGGAGCATTTATGTTTGCACCATACTGTAGGAGAAGTTCCACCATGCCTATGTCAGCAGTCAGACAGGCAAGATGAAGAAGTGAACAGCCATCAGAAGACTCTTCTATCAGCTCATCTTCATGTTTACTCAAGGAGTTCAAATAGCATAACGGCTCGTCCAAAGATTCCTCTGGGAAGGAATTAAATTTCTGATCACTGCTTTCCAGATCTTCTAGTTGCATCGCTCTGGCCAAAGAAAGTGCATTATATGAAGCTTGCCCATGGATGGCATTCACATTGGCTTCAGAGCAGACAATATGGCGGTACACTGCTTTCTTGTCATTATCACGGACACTTTCCCACACCTGTTGCGCCAATGAAAGGAGATGCTTAGTCTCCTTTGACTTGCGAACAAAAACTTTTTCAGCATACTGCAAGCATAGGAAATCATAAAATTTAATTTTAGGTTCCGAATGACAAAAATAATTAGCTTCTTACGTGGAGTTACAATAAAAGGGTACCAGATGATAACAATGTTGTCATATAACAAATTCACCTGGCAGTTGGTTGGACGAGATGGTTAAAGAGGTTACGTAGATCAATAATTATAATTGAATTAATGTCTAAGTTAAGAAGTCACTTCAAGCAAACATTATCAATTACCCATGGGAAGGGCCGTGGATTTCAATTAGAGGGAAAACAGGAGAAAATAACGAAGATATTGTAGCATTAGTGTTAATACCTTAGCATGAATGTACTGCTCCTTTACTGCAATAGAATCATCATGACTAGGTTTTCGCACAGTAAACTGTTTGCGTTTGTCAATCTTGGAAGCTCTGCACCACAAGAACTAACTACTTAATAGGACAAAAACAGATACCTTTCCATATAGCTCAAGTCCTAGAGATGTAGGCTAAGCTTTGGTCAAAGTAACATTAGAAAGTAACACTTTGATCCCTACTTGATGGACATGTGTTACTTTCTGATTTTATAGGGACCAACATATCACTTACCCCATAGTCCTCTTATTAGGTGAAAAGTTACTCTTGTTATCTGGTAAAAAACTACTTCCACTTGCACTCCCAGAGTGCAACAACTCCTCCCAGATTGAGTTTGCATAGACATTTCCCAGTGACTGAAACAGGTTTAATACAGATGATTCCCACACTTTAACATCAAGTGTCAGTGATCTCACCTGCATAAAATGTTATCCAGAAATACTGTATCAATGAATGAACAAAGAGACTCCACACAAGGTTTAAGCCTCACACATCTGAAGGTCCTGATGCCTATTTGGAGCTTTCTTTAGGAAACATTGAGATGAACATTGCCAATCTTGCAACATGAAAAGAGTTGAGGTTCCAAGAAGAAACAGAGATTACTTACCTTTGATATATGTACTCCAAGGTTACGATGAACACCAGAACATTCGATACATATAAGAACACCTAGGTTTAAGGATGCCCAGTCTGGCTCAGATGCACCACAATCAGCACATTTGTCATTCCCATATACTCTTCTCAATAAATCAATTGGCTTTTCACCCTTCATGCTATTGGCCATATCTCCCCAACTTCTAGATATACGTAAATGATTTTCGGAGGCAAGACTTGTAGTTGTGTTTTCCTCAAGTGCTGTTTGTTCAACATCTGCGCAATCCACATATGAACCACTTTCGCTTCCGGTTCCAGAGCAATAATCGACATATTCAATGGGACCAGCAGAAAGACACTACATGTGATTGGATTATGACAATTTAGATAGACACATAAATTAATGGCCACAACTGTTGATAACATGCTTAAATTTTACCCTCTCCGGCGTCTGAAAACTCAACAGAGAAGCAATTACTCCATTTATTTTTTCAATCCACTCCATTTGATCTACCGCACTCTCTGCCTACATTGATAAACAAATACAATTAAGAATCTGCTCATATATATTGATCCATTCCGTCCCTCACTTTCTAGTGAGCATTCGCAAGAGCATGATAAGGGCATAATTTATATTATGTTTATACCCTTAATTTACATATAATTAAAGATTTATTTTGATGTTAAGTAAATGAGCGAATAATGACAAAACTAAAGTCTAGTATTAACTTTAAATTTTAATTTCAATTAAATTCTTATAACTAAAGTTAGTAATATATTTGATTTGAATTTTTATTAATTAGTAATCTATTTAAATTTGATTTTGTATAACGCTAATCCCTAGTTCGTGGCATTGCGAATTTTAACTGAAACAAAAACGGGTAAGTTTTGTCAAAGAATCACTAGACTCAACAGTAAACAAGTTTTATGTTGATGTTTGGTTTGAACAGATCGATACCTGCAAAGTGTAGACTTTTGTTGGAGAGATAATCCTGAAGCAGAACCTTAAATCTGATTGATCAGCGTCAACCTTAATTGTTGAGGTCAAAAGATTCACAGTGTGTCGTGCTACAGATTTTTCATCATGTACACCCCCGTGGTAATGAGAAGAAAGCCACCGGCTCAGCAACCCATGACTAGTTTCAGATTGATTATTTCTCTGTGCGGAAGACTGATTCGCAGCTGCCTGAAATAGGACACGCATTCCTTCATTACCGAACAAGGACTAGAGGATAGAGAATTTACAATTCATAATATGACAGGTTCTTTCCCGCTAGCGACTCACAGAATTCCAGCTCCATGGTTTCCGATAATAATACAGCATCCCTCGGCTATCAAGCACAAAAAATCTTCTCTTCCAATCCCCTCTCAAATTAGAGGATCGCTTTGAGAGATATCCTTGTCGAATGGTTTGGACCTGAATATTATTTGTATTAGAGCAGAAAATCTTAAGGAGATGAAAATGGAAAAAGGGATATCAGCGGGGCTTGTGAGAAGGGAAAAGGTTGAAATTTATATAGAAAACTACCTTTCCCTTGGCAGCAGATTGCATGGCTGCCTCTATCACTTTATTTGAATTCCTTGCAAAAGGTCTTGTTAGACTGTCTCCCTTGGGAGAGCCACTAGAACCATTCAAGGAATTCTTTCTTTCTCGATCAATCTGCCTTTTATACTCCTGCATCCTTTCATGAAGCGACTCCTGCTCATAGTTGGAACATTCTCTTGACTGTTGTGCATAAGCCAAGACCTGTAACCCAACAGTGAAACAAAAGGTTCACAGATGGAAGGAATAAATTTTTTTCAAGAGAAACTTGTTGGCTATAAACATGAATGTGGCCTTAGTGCAATCTCTTCAGAATTGAAGCCTACTTTAGAAGAGATGATTGCCAGAACTACTTTGTATCTTGACTTAGAGAAGGTTAGGAACCAAAATGTACCATTGTCAAATAACCACTTTAGGATATATATATATATATATATATATATATTTTTTTTTTTTTCCTAAGCGGCTTAAGAAGTTATTCCTCATCCTAAAGATGGTAGTAATGATAAAACCTTGCAGGCTCTGGCTCATCAACTGCATGCACATGTGTGTGCAGAATTCCAACAAGGCATATGGTTCTGATGAACAAGTTCAACCTGGTAGATGGAGGTATTCAAATTTTCTACTCAAGAAGCAAAAATATGCATCTCAATCACTTTGATTGAACTTTTGAGCTAAAGGGCTAAGCATGATATGTGGTTGCTCTACAAATATTTTATACAAGATTTGTTGGTATTAAGAACTGAGCAGCTGGTTCAAGCTACTTGGTCAAGATTGGGTCACTTTCTATGTGCACATTTATCAAATATGTGCTTTGTTTAAGGAAATTAAGCAGCCTTTCCTACATCTTATAAGGAAAAATTGGTAAAAGAGACCTGGTTAATGAAGGGTTCCATATGATGTAACAGTTCATATCCCTGCAAGGAACAAAGTTTTGAAGCCACATATTGTTATTATTTATCAGAGGGAAGAAGCAAATGAATTCTGAGCACATGATCGTATCGAACCTGTTTGAAGAATCGAAGGTGAGCGCCCATTGTCCTACTAACAGCCTCCAAAAACTCGAACCTTTTTTTGGCTTCAACATTAGAGAGAGTACTAACCTAAATATCAGAAAGCATATATAGAGAGTAAATTCCTAACTGTGGATGAATTAGACAATTAGTTACACCAAAATTTCCTCATTGAATAACTTACTAGTTGGAAGCGGGCTTGCTCAAATAAGCATCTTGCATTGTGCATTTCCTGGAATATCTCTTTACTATATTAGGTTTTAGAGATGATGTTTACCCTTGAATAACTATCTGATCAATTAATTTCCACTAGATTGAACAGTGCTAGGAGTAAGTTTAGTCATTAGATATACCTCCTCTATGACAGCAGCTACATCAACCCTGGTGCTCTTCTTCAATGAAAGAAACTTCTCACGTGCCTGTGACACAAAATTAAAACTAGCATTGAATGTCACCATGCAGAAATACGAGATATAAGGGATCAATTTCATACATTCATCCAAATAAGTCAGCCGTCAAATTCGTAGTAAAACAGTTACTGCAGTTCTGAAATTAACCTCAAGAAACTCAAACTATTTGACATGATCTTATATGTTTATCTTTTTCTTAGATGGAGAAGATAAATTAAAACAAAAAAGTTCATGTCCTAATTTCCTGGCAACCAAGTATCCGAATCCAGAAATAGAATGGAAATCAGTTTGATCCTTCTTTTGTTCCTTCATTAAAAGAGAGGGGGAAGGGGGAAGGAGGTTGTCAGATTATAAAAATATTTAGTGAGATCTTCTTATAAGTTTTTAACTTTTGAAATGAATGGTAACTCAACATGTGTCTTATACACCATGGTGTATATTCGAAGTCAAAATTATCTGACTTGTGAAATTTAGAACCCACCTGATCGTATATAAGAGAAGCTTTGTCAAAGCGTTTCCGGGTTTCCTGCACCAATAAAAGATTATAGACGGGTAAAATGGAATTCCATTGGACAAATAACTGGGAAGGGCTCACCAGTGGATGAGAACAAAATAAGAAACATTAGTATTTTTGGTAATAATACGACAGAGAAATTTAACCTAATAAGAGTACACCAACTATACCATTTTTGCCATATTAAAATAAAAGCCCTAATCATATAAACACTTTGACATCACAATGCAATTCAGGTTTGAAGTTGTGAAGACATCAACAACACCATCTAATCTAATCTCATATTACAAAATGCATAAGATAGCCCTCAATAGATGACCATTAATTGTACAAGTTTGATGTGTCTTGATGGAAAACTTTCAAACAACAAGAAACAGAGAAGAAAAAGATTGGGAAATTCATTCTATCAGTGAGAAAATAGCCATTTTGGACATAGAAATCAAGAAGACTACCACAATATATGGCTTTCTGACTTGAACAACAATGACCAAGATGCAGTTTGTAGACAGAATTTTGTAGGGGTAAAGTCAAAATGTCAATATTGTTCCTAAATTCATCAAGCTGTATACAAATGGCAGGTATGATGATTATAGAATGCAAGTGAAGTATCTATAGTAAAAGATGTATCCAATACCTTGACATCTTGCAAATCAACATTGACAAATTGCATCAACCTATCATTTAGCATGTGCTCTACCTGCGAAAGCCAAATTTGAGGATGTTAGAAAAGGAAAGCAATTAAGCCTGTTCCCATATGTGGTAAGTCTTTCATTGGAAAAAAATAAAGCCCAGTTGCAATTAAATGATAACACAGAAACCCCGACTTTCAATCAGAGGAATGTAATAACCTCTCTGTTATTGCTGGAAACCATAGAAAACTATGTTGTAATGTTTAGAGATTTTGAAACCATGAATTACGTTTGAAGGTTGTAATCTTGTTTGGCATCGACCGATGTTATGTCAGGATTCAGGAATGATGCAGAAAGCAAGTACTATAAGAAGAAAGCACAACATTGCTACCTGTGATCGAAGAACTTCTTTGAATGTTCCAATTTCTCTCAAAGCAATTGTGAATTTGGTCATGACTGGGCCTGATGACACATAAATTCTCTCAGTCGTAACATCACTAAACATACAGAGCTATTAAATTTTTTGGAGCTAACGAAAAGATCTGTCGAACAAAAGTTCCAGTTTAAAATTTTCAGTAAAATTTAACAAAAGGAAAGAAGATAACAATGATAGGCTGTGCAAGAATCCAAGCAGCTTATGCTTAACTTGTTAGCAGCTCTTGTAGGCTCATACAAGCACAAGCCAAAATTCAAGTTCAGTGACAACTGACTTGCACAGAAAAGCTCAGGCAACACAAAGAAAAAAAGGTAACAAAATGCATATGATGACCTGTACAAGGATCCATAGGCTTACACAATAATTTGAATGCATCAAGCACGAGCCCAAAGCCGAGCTCAATCACTTGCCCAGTAAACCTCGGGCAAAAAAAAAAAGGCTTGAATAAGTAACTCTGATCTTTATGTGGAGTAGTAAGATTTAAGATCCTATTATATACTCTAGTTGTTGGCGCTGAATGAGTTCATAGAACTAAAGAACGAAATCGACTTTAGGCTTCTCTTCTTAATAGTCACAAAACCATATTTGTTAGGATAAAGAAACATATTTGTTGGTAATGCGAATTAAACAATATGAGAAAAGCTGAGCTCAAATTTGACTGAGAGGCTCGAGCATGGCTGCTCAGTTCAGCTCAAGCTTGAACCAAGTAGAAACATGCTTCCGAGTCACACACCACCGTACTGTTGGATTTGTCAACTACTGCATTAATAGGTTACGCAAATGCATTCAAGGGTCTTGTTGCCCAATGAGTGGACAGGGGTTGTGGGGGCAGCACCCCCAAACCCGTAGGTGGTTTGGGTTTTTTCCATGTATAACTATTTAAGGAATTTTTTAAGCTATTAATTCTTTATTGGGTTAGGCTTAGGAATAAGATTCCCTGTAAAACTAGGTTTAGTCTCTTAAACCTAGTATATAAACATATTTTTCTCTTATTATGAGTGTGATAGCAAATCATAGGACAATTAATTCATTGTAGAGGAGAGAGGTGAAAAAGTATTGCAATAATATTGACTTTGCTGGATGCAGTCTATATTGGATGAACCAAGATAAATCACACATGTTATTTTCTCTTTATTTATTATCTGTGATTTGTTTTCTTGTTATTTTGTTCTCGGTACTGTCTCTATTTCGTTCACATAATAGGCAAAAGACAACAAAAACATAAATGAAACATGCTTCCACGTTAGACACCATCGTAAAGGGCAAATAAAATCATATATGAAATACATCCACTTTATACTTCCTTTTTTGATTGACAATCGCGTAAGTCAACCATGTCTCATTAAGCCTAAGCATTCATGCCAAACCAAAAAAAGTACTTTTATGATATAAAGAGGTGCAAATGTCAAATGACAACACCTACCTCCAAGAGCAACACAAATAGGATCACCATGCCCACCGCCAAAAGTTTCAAGAGCATTTACAAAAGATATGTCTCCATCATGCCCTTCCCCGAGTGCTTCTCTGATGATTATAAGTAACTAAGCAAGTAAGATCTTCCAAAAACATGAAAATTGCCGGAAAAACAATACAGTAAATATATTGGTCATGTGAGTATAATGACACACTCATCATAGCATAATTTGAAATGTTTGAGAAGTTGGAACTTTTGGTTGAAACACCTAGAACAGTCAACTGCTCCAGTTTACATGATGAGCTTCAATCAACTAATTTTTGCTGACTAAACATAAGGTATTTACTATCATCAATGACCTTCACACAGTCCTGGCTTAAAGAAGCTCTTGGATATGACATGCCATATAATATATAGAAAAGAAAAGAGAGGATTCTGATGAGTAATTATATTAGACCAATAAAAGCTTTTCATTCTAATAGCTGTCCGATGTTCAAGATCAAAAGATAGACCTCCACTCATAATTGTTCAGTGGCGGAAGAGTTCATACAATTTGGTGTTTTCCCTCTCCAATCATTTATTAATTCTTTGTATTCACTCTGTTCAGTAGCCAGAGCTGAGGGAAAGACAAGACATTAGGTTGTTTGTGCAGGGATGCTACCTCATTGCGTCATTTCGTGCAATTAAAAGGAAAGAAACAGAAAGCCACTAACGGAATCTAAACTCTAAACGTATATCAAGCTATAGAGTTATCTTTCGAGTATCAATATATTCAGCGAGCAGTTCATTCATGTCAAAATAAAAGTTTAATATTAAAAGATTCCATATGATCAACTAAAAGATTGAAGACATAACTGAAACAATGAATAAGCTTACGTGTACTTGCGTGATCCTTTGTAAAGCCTTAAACATCTCCCTCTCAATAATTCAGCACTTTCCTCCATCAATAGCATCTATTCACCAAACACCACATCAGTACGCCATACTTTCTGTAGCAACTAAAACTTAACAGACGCATTAAAAAGAACCTTAATCTTTAGCTTGTAAAATAGTTGAAAATCAAATATATATATATAGTTAAAGCACATTTATATTCCAATCAATATTCTTATAACTGCGAGAATGGAGCATGCTACGGGCATTGGACCTTAATCAACACCAATCCAATGGAAAATCCTCGCTCATTTGAGTTAGAAGAGATCAGTGAAACAAGAAATATTACAATGCTAACAAATTAAACACCTGAGGTTCCGTTCATAGTTTATTTGTTTTTCTTTCAATAAAATGCTCGCTATATCCAAAAGATAATTGATTAGACTTAGACACACCTGCACACGGTACAAAATACATTCTTCTGGTTCATTTTTATAGAAATCTCACTAAATGTATATGTAATTGAAACATTCAAAAGACAAAATACGGAAACAGAAATAGCACCTGTTGCCGAAACATGGGAGAATCGTCGAGTTTGGCGAACTGCATTGTTTAAGCAATTCAGATAATTTTTTTTTTTTTTCTCTTCTTCGTTGTGCCTGAAAAGATAAAAAAATTAGAGTTGTGTTTTGATTGAAAAGTTTGTTTGTGAGTTTGTGTTGTGTATTGTTTAAAATGGCCGCAATTGAAGGAGGTTTTGTTTGTTGAAGTGGTTAGTGTAGCGAATTTTCATGGCTGTCATAAAACTAACAAAAATAAATAAAGAAATTACCCGCCTTTTTCTTTCTCCATATTTAAATTTCGTGTCGGTTTAATTTCAAAAGAAGAAAACTTTGACTTTGTAGCACGACAGCGTTTAGTCATTGCCTTTTCGGCCAGAAGCATTAGTGATAATTATAGCGAGTTGATTAATTATTAGGATCAATTGCACCTTCCAATGATTTTTTATATGATTTAAATTTTTAATTATAACTAGTTTATTCATAAAAATAAAAGTTTAATAGACTATTTATTATTTAAATATAAATTAAATAGTGAATTTAACTCTCTACATCTAAAGAGTCAAATCTCACTTTTTATCTCAATTTTATTTAATAAATTACAAGTTTTTATACATTTTATTATTAATTCTCTCTCATATTAAGTCTCTCTCCTATTTATTAAGTCTAATTTAAAGAGTTTATTAGATTGAAATACAGATTTTGTTTTTTATATTTAGAAATGAGTTAACTAAATGTTCTCACCCAAAAAAATGCCCAATTGACAAATTCATACCCACCTACATTTTAAATACCCTTTTAGTACCCAAAGGTTAGTAATTTTTGTTATGAGAAGGGTAAAATGGTCAAACATTCATTATTAGTGAGGGTAGAATGGTCAACAAACATTTGGCCACCGGAGAAGAGAAAAGAAAAGGGCAGGCGCACGTTAGCAAGGAGATGGAGACGATTTTTGCTGTTTTTAGACAAATCCCGGCGTCCAAAATCACTTTCGAGACCACCCACAGAATCTCCATCACCCTTTCTATAAAGCCCAAGCCACCACCTCCATTCACACAATCGACATTCAAGTAGGATTTTTGGTCGTTTCCGGTGTTGAAAATCCACCGTGAAACTCACTGCCTCCTCCATCCTCTTCCTCAAGCCTTTCTCACCCTTAATTCGTTCACCCCGAGCCCAATGCACCTGCTAATCGCCGAAAATTGCTGCTTGAGTTTTTGCACGATTCCCCATCTTTTTGGACTTTTTTTCGGCTGATTCAATCACTCAAAATGCTCCCTGCCACCACCGTTCGACTCCCCACCCTCTGCTCTTCAAAACGCACCCCTCCCCAAACCCTACATGCTCGCCATTTGTCGCCTGGGTCCAGCTCTTTCCACCATGGGATAGTCGCGATTTGCGACGGTTTCCTTTGCAAATCATTGGTGTTTTTGGTGCTCAATCAATGGCTTTTGATTTATTGTCTTTGTGTTGTGTTTTTTCCGCCCACCGTTATCTCCCAGATCATCCAACCTCGGTGCCCCAACATAGCTCACCACCTGTTTGATTTATTGTCGCACCTAGCTCCCAGCCGACAATGGAAGAGGCTAAGGGTACTTTCATAAATTGATGTATTTCCCACCCCAAATTTAATATTTGCCTATTTGGGTACTAAAAAGGTATTTAAAAAGTAGGTGGATATAAATTTGTCAATAAGCCATTTTTTGGGTGAGAACATGTCGTTAACTTTTTAGAAATTAATGAAGATATTTTTTATTTATGTGAATAGTGGTGGATCCAACCCACTTGGCCTACCCTCAATTTTTTTTTTTAAATACTAATATATATAATTTTTAGATTTTAGTTCATATTAATAGATAAAAATATTAATATGTAATTAGTTTTTATTTTGGCCAACCCTCAAAAATATTTTTGGATCTGGTACTGTATGTGAAATATGCTTTTTGAAATAAATAATAGATGCTTAAGCTGATTACAACAGCTAAGTAATATTTCAATAAATATATGTTAATTAATAAAGTATAATTATCTATTTAGTATTCCTTGAGATCATAGACAGTGATACTTTTGTAATATTTTAATCATTAAAGTAAAGATTATGAGACTTAAACAATGATTAACGTAAATGCTGGATAGTAATGAGCTGCATGATCTTTTAATTAATTGAGTATTTCTATTAATAACTGCGATTCCCACCTGTTGAACAATAAACTGTTCTACAAAAGAAGGCTTAAGGAACCACTAACGTGACACGTCTCAAGATGGGCCCAACATAAACTGTTCTTCTACAAAAGAAGGGTTAAGGAACCACTAACGTAACACGTCTCATGATGGATCCATACTTGTTCGAAGAATTAAGTGAAGGGCAATATTATATTTACAGTCCAATTATCTTATAAATTTTTTCTTTATAATATAACAATTTATAATTAGTCAGTTTATAATAAGTTTTATTTATCTAATTGTGAACTATCATATCAAAATTATGGAAGAAAATTTGTTAGATTGAATAGTGCACCAAATATAATCTTTATTGATTACTTCAAACTCTCTACTCGAATGTGTTAATGCACGCTCCACAAAAGGAACTAACAAAAGAAATGCGCCTTTTGTCTGTACCATCTTCCCTTCCATTCCAATATTCCATGCCGCCGCTGTTGTGTTGAAGAAAATGTTAAGGGTGGTGATAGAACTAAGTAATAGATTTCTATTGGAATGAAAAAGGATGATGATTATTTGCATAAAAGGTTCTATTTGAACTCTGGAGGTTTTTAGCTCCCTCAATTAAGCAAGAATTGCTTTCTTCTTTGTTTAATATATAAATAGATAGAGGGAAGAAAACTTCTTCAAGCACGGGTATAACATGTGGTATCAGAGCCCATACATGGACTACCAAATTCAGAAACTTGAGCGATCAGTGAAAGCTTTAGAAACAGATCAACAAAAGTTTATGAACAAAATCCAAATTTTATTCAACAAACTCATTGATAAGATTGATCAATTAATAGGTCATTCTTTTGTGGAGAATGGAGAAGCCAAGAGGCCCATTCACACCGTTGCAATCATTGTTAAAAATTGCCCCGTTCAAGCAACTATAGTCCAATCATCTTTCACTCAAGCTACTGCAGTCCAATCTTCTTTCTCTCAAGCCAACGTCTTCCAATCTTCTTTTGCCCAAGCCACTGCAGTCCAATCTTCCTCTCAACAAGCCATTGCAATCCAATCTTATAAACCCACTACAATATCGGAAAGTATATGAAATTTGTTTGAACTAATTTTTCCAGCAACTCACATTAAGTTGTGGTTATCTTTTACCCAGAGTCATCCGTTTTACCAAAACAAAATCCTTGAGGACAAGGATTGTTTCAAGAGGAGAGGAATGTTATGTACCCATTTTGATAATGGGTAAATGTTAATTAAATTATATTTTAGGAGTTTTCTTAGGGATTTATTTGTTAATTAAGCTTGAGTTTATCTCAACAATTAATTTAAATAAATTAGATTAAGATACAGATGAGTTTTATTTTAGTTGAATAAGTCAGCCAAGTATTTAGGATTCTTTAGTTGGGTGTGAACGTGTATTTTGGTTTGTTTAAGTTGTGAACGTGTTTTGCTATTTAGTAGGGAAGTATGATTGTAAGATCATATATATTTTCTAGATTTCTATTGTTTATTTTTGTTTGTCATTCTTAGTTCTTACTGTATGTTTGATTAAGGGTGAATGCATAAGACTAATTTATTTAGTGATATTTTCCAGCAGTCTTTTCCCTTGAGATGATTGACAAATTCCCTTGAGATGATTGAGTAATTTAAAATTTGTAATGCTATCTATTATTAGTATTCCATTTACTAATTTTTGATTGAGTGAATTTTTATTTTATTTTATTTTTTCTCTCAACTCGCTGCTGGTGCTCATCCTGATATTTCTAAGCCTGATGTCGGACGTTACTGGCGTCGAAAATCAGCACCTCACCCATCGTTAGAAAGGTCTTGATCTCCTCTTTCCATTTGTGTGCTTTTCGTCGCTGTTTGACGGAAAAGCGTACTTTTTTTTTTTAACGAAAACATGCGTTTTTCAATCTCGTTTGTAGTCGATTTACCGATTGGAAATGACTGTGGTTGGTCCCATTCAAACCGTCTTGGTTTGGTCTTCAAAACACTGGTCTTGGATTTCCTTGGTTGTTCGCTGTTTGTCGATGTCGAAGGATTGTTTCTAGCAAGGGACAATCAGTTTTTGGCCATTAACATCTAGGTTTTTTCTAGAATTTTGTTGTTGTTAGTTGTGTACTTGTGTGTGCAGTTTTCTAAAGTGTGTGGATAGTGTTTGGTGGTCCAAAATCCCCACAAAATTGCTTGGACTCAATTGCACCCCACTTACTCACTGAATTTCCCTCCAGCTACCTCGCTTGAGATCTTGAAGCATATATGTATATTAGTATGCAATAATAGCTCGAACTCATTACAACTATTACTCAAACTCGATTAAAACTCGAATAATGGAACTCGATTAAGGCTTGAATAGAACTTGATTACAGTTCTACTAAAACTCAATTATATGAACTCGAATTCCAATTTCAGTTACTGAGTTCGAGTTCAAACTCAATTACTCAGGCTCGGTCAGGCTTAAACTTGAACTCGAATTCGGTACTATAGTGCTCGAGTTGAGTTCGAATACCCAGATACCCGATTCGACTTGGTTTCACCCCTAGGTGTTGTTTATCTTTACTTTGAGATAAAAATATGTAAACAAAAGGCTATAATAAGAATTACGGCATGGGGGCTGGGATTGTGTAAAATAATGAATGAAAAAGGGACTTTTTAGCTGATTTTAAGTTGTTGGAGTCACTTTTTCAACCAGCTTGTGAGCTTAAGCGAGCTCAAATCTCAAAGGGGGTATATGTTAGTTTTGAAACTATTAGAGATATACGTAATTTACTAGTTTATAGAAATGACAAACACTCAAACACACCCCATAAAAAAAACAAAGACAGATCATTTGATTTGTGGGATGGAAACGTTGTGGCAGATTGCGCAATAGCTAATGGGTGTGACCATACCAACACTAATACATCGAATCCCATCAAAACTGTGAAGTTAAGTACTAGGATGGGTGATCTCTTGGGAAGTCCTCGTGTGCACCCCTTTTTTTTTTGCCTCGATCATTTTGTTGTTTACTCCGTTTCTCTTTCCTCTGCTTGCCTCGTCCCGTTACTCTGTTTATTGATGTTGTCATTCTCGGAGCTTCAAGCCATACCAGTTGAATGAGAGACAAAATCGGTGCTGTCCTTTTGTATTCAGCTATTTCGTTATTTACTCCATTTCTCTTTCCTTCGTCTCGTCTCGTTACTCTGTTTATTGATGTTGTCATTCTAGGAGCTTCGAGCCATACCAGTTGAATGAGAGACGGAATCAGTGCTATGAGCAAAAGCTTTAACGACCGAGGAAGTGTAATAAATAAATAGATTGCGAAATACTTGAAATCTCTTGACTGTTGTGCATAAGCCAAGACCTGTAACCCAACAGTGAAACAAAAGGTTCACAGATGGAAGGAATAAATTTTTTCAAGAGAAACTTGTTGGCTATAAACAGAATGTGGCCTTAGTGCAATCTCTTCAGAATTGAAGCCTACTTTAGAAGAGATGATTGCCAGAACTACTTTGTATCTTGACTTAGAGAAGGTTAGGAACCAAAATGTACCATGTCAAATAACCACTTTAGGATAATAATATATATATATATATTTTTTTTTTCTAAGGGCTTAAGAGTTATTCCTCATCCTAAGATGGTAGTAATGATAAAACCTTGCAGGCTCTGGTCATCAAAGCATGCACATGTGTGTGCAGAGATTCCATCAAGGCATATGGTTTGATGAACAAGTTCAAAGGTAGAGGAGGTATTCAAATTTTCTACTCAAGAAGCAAAAATATGCATTCAATCACTTTGATTGAACTTTTGAGCTAAAGGGTAAGCATGATATGTGGTTGCTCTACAAATATTTTATACAGATTTGTTGGTATAAGAACTGAGCAGCTGCTTCAAGCACTTGGTCAAGATTGGGTCACTTTCTATGTGCACATTTATCATATGTGCTTTGTTTAAGGAAATTAAGCAGCCTTTCCTACATCTTATAAGGAAAAATTGGCAAAGAGACCTGGTTAATGAAGGGTTCCATATGATTGAACAGTTCATATCCCTGCAAGGAACAAAGTTTTGAAGCCACATATGTTATTATTTATCAGAGGGAAGAAGCAAATGAATTCTGAGCACATGATCGTATCGAACCTGTTTGAAGAATCGAAGGTGAGCGCCCATTGTCTACAACAGCCTCCAAAAACTCGAACCTTTTTTTGGCTTCAACATAGAGAGAGTACTAACCTAAATATCAGAAGCATATATAGAGAGAGTAATTCCTAACTGTGGATGAATTAGACAATTAGTTACACCAAAATTTCCTCATTGATAACTTACTATTGGAAGCGGGCTTGCTCAAAATAGCATCTTGCATTGTGCATTCCTGGAATATCTCTTTACTAATAGGTTTTAGAGATGGTGTTACCCTTGAATAACTATCTGATCAATTAATCACTAGATTGACAGTGCTAGGAGTAAGTTTAGTCATTAGATAACCTCCTCTATGACAGCAGCTACATCAACCCTGGTGCTCTTCTTCAATGAAAGAAACTTCTCACGTGCCTGTGACACAAAATTAAAAATAGCATTGAATGTCACCAGCAGATACGAGATATAAGGGATCAATTCATACATTCATCCAAATAAGTCAGCCTCAAATTTGTAGTAAAACAGTTACTGCCGTTCTGAAATTAACCTCAAGAAACTCAAACTATTTGACATGATCTTATATGTTTATCTTTTTAGATGGAGAAGATAAATTAAAACAAAAAGTTCATGTCCTAATTTCCTGGCAACCAAGTATCCGAATCCAGAAATAGAATGGAAATCAGTTTGATCCTTCTTTGTTCTCATTAAAAGAGAGGGGGAAGGGGGAAGGATGTTGTCAGATTATAAAAATATTTAGTGAGATCTTATAAGTTTGAACTTTTGAAATGAAGGTAACTCAAAATGTGTCTTATACACCGTGGTATATATCCAAGTCAAAATATCAACTGGTGAAATTTAGAACCCACCTGATCGTATATAAGAGAAGCTTTGTCAAAGCGTTTCCGGGTTTCCTGCACCAATAAAAGATTATAGACGGGTAAAATGGAATTCATTGGACAAATAACTGGAAGGGCTCACCAGTGGATGAGAACAAAATAAGAAACATTAGTATTTTTGGTAATAATACGACAGAGAAATTTAACCTAATAAGAGTACACCAACTATACCATTTTGCCATACTAAAATAAAGCCCTAATCATATAAACACTTTGACATCACAATGCAATTCAGGTTTGAAGTTGTGAGACATCAACAAACCATCTAATTAATCTCATATTACAAATGCATAAGATAGCCCTCAATAGATGACCATTAATTGTACAAGTTTGATGTGTCTTGATGGAAAACTTTAAAACAACAAGAAACAGAGAAGAAAAAGATTGGGAAATTCATTCTATCAGTGAGAAAATAGCCATTTTTACATAGAATCAAGAAGACTACACAATATATGGCTTTCGACTTGAACAACAATGACCAAGATGCAGTTTGTAGACCGAATTTTGTAGGGGTAAAGTCAAAATGTCAAATATTCCTAAATTTATCAAGCTGTATACAAAGGCTGTATGATGATATAGAATGCAAGTGGAGATCTATAAAAAGATGTATCCAATACTGACATCTTGCAAATCAACATTGACAAATTGCATCAACCTATCATTTAGCATGTGCTCTACCTGCGAAAGCCAAATTTGAGGATGTTAGAAAAGGAAAGCAATTAAGCCGTTCCCATATGTGGTAAGTCTTTCATTGGAAAAAAATAAAGCCCAGTTGCAATTAAATGATAACACGAAACCCCGACTTCAATCAGAGGATGTAATAACCTCTCGTTATTGCTGGAAACCATGAAACTATGTGTAAGTTTAGAGATTTTGAAACCCGAATTACGTTTGAAGGTTGTAATCTTGTTTGGCATCGACCGATGTTATGTCAGGATCACGGAATGGCAGAAAGCAAGTACTATAAGAAGAAAGCACAACATTGCTACCTGTGATCGAAGAACTTCTTTGAATGTTCCAATTTCTCTCAAAGCAATTGTGAATTTGGTCATGACTGGGCCTGATGACACAAATTCTCTCAGTCGTAACATCACTAAACATACGGAGCTATTAAATTTTTTGGAACTAACGCAAAGATCTGTCGAACAAAAGTTCCAGTTTAAAATTTTCAGTAAAATTTAACAAAAGGAAAAGATAACATGATAAGCTGTGCAAGAATCCAAGCAGCTTATGCTTAACTTGTTAGCAGCTCTTGTAGGCTCATACAAGCACAAGCCAAAATTCAAGTTCAGTGACAACTGACTGCACAGAAAAGCTCAGGCAACACAAAGAAAAAAAGGTAACAAAATGCATATGATGACCTGTACAAGGATCCATAGGCTACACAATAATTTGAATGATCAAGCACAGCCCAAGCCGAGCTCAACACTTGCCCAGTAAACCTCGGGCAAAAAAAAAAAAAAAGGCTTGAATAAGTAACTCTGATCTTTATGTGAGTAGTAAGATTTAAGATCCTATTATTACTCTAGTTGTGGCGCTGAATGAGTTCATAGAACTAAAAACGAATCGACTTTAGGCTTCTCTTCTAATAGTCACAAAACATATTTGTTAGGATAAAGAAACATATTTGTTGGTAATGCGAATTAAACAATATGAGAAAAGCTGGCTAAATTTGACTGAGAGGCTCGAGCACGGCTGTCAGTTAGCTCAAGCTGAACCAAGTAGAAACATGCTTCCGAGTTCACACCACCGTATGTTGGATTTGTCAACTACTGCATTAATAGGTTACGCAAGCATTCAGGGTCTTGTTGCCCAATGAGTGGCAGGGGTTGTGGGGCAGCACCCCACCCGTAGGCGGTTTGGGTTTTTTCCTGTATAACTATTAAGAATTTTTTAAGCATTAATTCTTAGGGTTAGGCTTAGGAAATAAGATTCCTGTAAAACTAGGTTTAGTTCTTAAACTAGTAATAAACATATTTTTCTTATTATGAGTGTGATAGCAAATCATAGGACAATTATTCATTGTAGAGGAGAGAGGTGAAGTATTGCAATAATATTGACTTTGCTGGATGAGTATATTGGGAACAAGATAAATCGACATGTTATTTTCTCTTTATTTATTATCTGTGATTGTTTTCTTGTTATTTGTTCTCGGTACTGTCTCTATTTCGTTCACATAATAGGCAAAAGACAACAAAAACATAATGAAACATGCTTCCACGTTAGACACCATCGTAAAGGGAAATAAAATCATATATGAAATACATCCACTTTAACTTCCTTTTATTGACAATCGCGTAAGTAACATGTCTCATTAAGCCTAAGCATCATGCCAAACCAAAAAAAGTACTTTTATGATATAAAGAGGTGCAAATGTCAAATGACAACACTACTCCAAGAGCAACACAAATAGGATCACCATGCCACCGCCAAAAGTTTCAAGGCATTTACAAAAGATATGTCTCCATCATGCCCTTCCCCGAGTGCTTCTCTGATGATTATAAGTAACTAAGCAAGTAGATCTTCCAAAAACATGAAAATTGCCGGAAAAACAATACAGTAAAATATTGGTCATGTGAGTATAATGACACACTATCATGAGCATAATTTGAAATGTTTGAGAAGTTGGAATTTTGGTTGAAACACCTAGAACAGTCAACTGCTCCAGTTTACATGATGAGCTTCAATCAACTAATTTTTGCTGACTAAACATAAGGTATTACTATCATCAAGACCTTCACACAGCTGCTTAAAGAAGCTCTTGGATATGACATGCCATATAATATATAGAAAGAAAAGAGAGGATTCTGATGAGTAATATATTAGACCAATAAAAGCTTTTCATTCAATAGCTGGCGATGTTCAAGATCAAAAGAAGACCTCCAATCATAATTGTTCAGTGGCGGAAGAGTTCATACAATTTGGTGTTTTCCCTCTCCAATCATTTATTAATTCTTTGTATTCACTCTGTTCAGTGCCAGAGCTGAGGGAAAGACAAGACATTAGGTTGTTGTGCAGGGATGCTACCTCATTGCGTCATTTCGTGCAATTAAAAGGAAAGAAACGAAAAGCCACAACGGAATCTAAACTCTAAACGTATATCAAGCTATAGAGTTATCTTTCGAGTATCAATATATTCAGCGAGCAGTTCATTCCTGTCAAAAATAAAAGTTTAATATTAAAAATTCCATATGATCAACTAAAAGATTGAAGACATAACTGAAACAATGAATAAGCTTACGTGTACTTGCGTGATCCTTTGTAAAGCCTTAAACATCTCCTCTCAATAATTCAGCACTTCCTCCATCAATAGCATCTATCACACAAACACCACATCAGTACGCCATACTTCTGTAGAACACTAAAACTAACAGACGCATTAAAAAGAACCTTAATCTTTAGCTTGTAAAATAGTTGAAAATCAAATATATATATATAGTTAAAGCACATTTATATTCCAATCATATTCTTATAACTGCGAGAATGGAGCATGCTACGGGCATTGGACCTTAATCAACACCAACCAATGGAAAATCCTCGCTCATTTGAGTTAGAAGAGATCAGTGAAACAAGAAATATTACAATGCTAACAAATTAAACACCTGAGGTTCCGTTCATAGTTTATTTGTTTTTCTTTCAATAAAATGCCGCTATACCAAAAGATAATTGATTAGACTTAGACACACCTGCACACGGTACAAAATACATTCTTCTGGTTCATTTTTATAGAAATCTCACTAAATGTTATGTAATTGAAACATTCAAAAGACAAAATACGGAAACAGAAATAGCACCTGTTGCCGAAACATGGAGAATCGTCGAGTTTGGCGAACTGCATTGTTTAAGCAATTCAGATAATTTTTTTTTTTTTCTCTTTCTTGTGCCTGAAAAGATAAAAAAATTAGAGTTGTGTTTTGATTGAAAATTTGTTTGTGAGTTTGTGTTGTGTATTGTTTAAATGGCCGCAATTGAAGGAGGTTTTGTTTGTTGAGTGGTTAGTGTAGCGAATTTTCATGGCTGTCATAAAACTAACAAAATAAATAAAGAAATTACCCGCCTTTCTTTTCCATATTTAAATTTCGTGTCGGTTTAATTCAAAAGAAGAAAACTTTGACTTTGTAGCACGACAGCGTTTAGTCATTGCCTTTTCGGCCAGAAGCATTAGTGATAATATAGCGAGTTGATTAATTATTAGGATCAATTGCACCTTCAAGATTTTTTATATGATTAAATTTTAATAAAATAGTTTATATAAAAATAAAAGTTAATAGACATTTATTATTTAAAATAAATTAAATAGTGAATTAACTTCTAATCTAAAGAGTCAAATCTCACTTTTTATCTCAATTTATTAATAAATTACAAAGTTTTTATACATTTTATATAATTCTCTCTCATATTAAGTCTCTTCCTATTTATTAAGTCTAATTTAAAGAGTATTAATTGAATACAGATTTTGTTTTTATATTTAGAAATGAGTTAATAAATGTTCCACCCAAAAAATGCCCATTGACAAATTCATACCCACCTACATTTTAAATACCCTTTAGTACCCAAGGTTAGTAATTTTTGTTATGAGAAGGGTAAAATGGTCAAACATTCATTATTAGTGAGGGTAGAATGGTCAACAAACATTGGCCACCGGAGAAGAGAAAAGAAAAGGGCAGGCGCACGTTAGCAAGGAGATGGAGACGTTTTTGCTTTTTAGACAAATCCCGGTGTCCAAAATACTTCGAGACCACCCACAGAATCTCCATCACCTTTCTATAAAGCCCAAGCCAACCACCATCCATTCACACAATCGACATTCAGTAGGATTTTTGGTCGTTTCGGTGTTGAAATCCACCGTGAAATCACTGCCTCCTCCATCCTCTTCCCAGCCTTTCTCACCCTTAATTCGTTCACCCGAGCCCAATGCACCTGCTAACGCCGAAAATTGTGCTTGAGTTTTTGCACGATCCCCATCTTTTTGGACTTTTTTTCGGCGATTCAATCACTCAAAATGCTCCTGCCACCACCGTTCGACTCCCCACCCTCTGTCTTCAAAACCACCCCTCCCAAACCCTACATGCTCCATTTGTCGCCTGGGTCCAGCTCTTTCCACCATGGGATAGTGCGATTTGGACGGTTTCCTTTGCAAATCATTGGTGTTTTTGGTGCTCAATCAATGGCTTTTGATTTATTGTCTTTGTTGTGTTTTTCCGCCCACCGTTATCTCCCAGATCATCCAACCTCGGTGCCCAACATAGCTCACAGTTTGATTTATTGTGCACCTAGCTCCCAGCCGACATGAAGAGGCTAAGGGTACTTTCATAAATTGATGTATTTCCCACCAAATTATATTGCTATTTGGGTACTAAAAGGTATTTAAAAAGTAGGTGGATATAAATTTGTCATAAGCCATTTTTTGGGTGGAACATGTCGTTAACTTTTTAGAAATAATGAAGATATTTTTTATTATGTGAATAGTGGACAACCCACTTGGCCTACCCTCAATTTTTTTTTTAAATAATATATATAATTTTAGATTTTAGTCATATTAATAGATAAAAAATAATATGTATTAGTTTTTATTTTGCCAACCTCAAAATATTTTTGGATTGGTAATGTGAAATTGCTTTTGAAATAATAAATAGATGCTTAAGCTGATTACAACAGCTAAGTAATATTTCAATAAATATATGTAATTAATAAAGTATAATATATATTAGTATTCCTTGAGATCATAGACAGTGATACTTTTGTAATATTTAATCATTAAAGTAAAGATTATGAGAATTAAACAATGATTAACGTAAATGCTGGATAGTAAGAGCTGCATGATCTTTAATTAATTGAGTATTTCTATTAATAACTGCGATTCCCACCTGTGAGACAATAAACTGTTCTACAAAAGAAGGCTTAAGGAACCACTAACGTGACACGTCTCAAGATGGGCAACATAAACTGTTCTTCTACAAAAGAAGGTTAGAACCACTAACGTAACACGTCTCATGAGGATCCATACTTGTTCGAAGAATTAAGTGAAGGGCAATTATATTTACAGTCCAATTATCTTATAAATTTTTTCTTTATAATATAACAATTATAATTAGTCAGTTTATAATAAGTTTATTTATCTAATTGTGAACATCATATCAAAATTATGGAAGAAAATTTGTTAGATTGAATAGTGCACCAATATAATCTTTATGATTACTTCAAACTCTCTACTCGAATGTGTTAATGCACGCTCCACAAAAGGAACAACAAAAAATGCGCCTTTTGTCTGTACCATCTTCCCTTCATTCCAATATTCCATGCCGCCGTGTTGTGTTGAAGAAAATGTTAAGGGTGGTGATAGAACTAAGTAATAGATTTCTATTGGAATGAAAAAGGATGATGATTATGCATAAAAGGTTTATTTGAACTCTGGAGGTTTTTAGCTCCCTCAATTAAGCAGAATTGCTTTCTTCTTTGTTTTAATAAAAATAGATAGAGGGAAGAAAACTCTTCAAGCACGGGTATACATGTGGTCAGAGCCCATACATGGACTACCAAATTCAGAAACTTGAGCGATCAGTGAAAGCTTAGAACAGATCAACAAAAGTATGAACAAATCCAATTTTATTCAACTACGTAGATCAATAATTATAATTGAATTAATGTCTAAGTTAAGAAGTCACTTCAAGCAAACATTATCAATTACCCATGGGAAGGGCCGTGGATTTCAATTAGAGGGAAAACAGGAGAAAATAACGAAGATATTGTAGCATTAGTGTTAATACCTTAGCATGAATGTACTGCTCCTTTAGTGCAATAGAATCATCATGACTAGGTTTTCGCACAGTAAACTGTTTGCGTTTGTCAATCTTGGAAGCTCTGCACCACAAGAACTAACTACTTAATAGGACAAAAACAAATACCTTTCCATACAGCTCAAGTCCTTGAGATGTAGGCTAAGCTTTTGTCAAGTAACATTAGAAAGTAACACTTTGATCCCTACTTGATGGACATGTGTTACTTTCTGATTTTATAGGGACCAACATATCACTTACCCCATAGTCCTCTTATTAGGTGGAAAGTTACTCTTGTTATCTGGTAAAAAACTACTTCCACTTCCACTCCCAGAGTGCAACAACTCCTCCCAGATTGAGTTTGCATAGACATTTCCCAGTGACTGAAACAGGTTTAATACAGATGATTCCCACACTTTAACATCAAGTGTCAGTGATCTCACCTGCATAAAATGTTATCCAGAAATACTGTATCAATGAATGAACAAAGAGACTCCACACAAGGTTTAAGCCTCACACATCTGAAGGTCCTGATGCCTATTTGGAGCTTTCTTTAGGAAACATTGAGATGAACATTGCCAATCTTGCAACATGAAAAGAGTTGAGGTTCCAAGAAGAAACAGAGATTACTTACCTTTGATATATGTACTCCAAGGTTACGATGAACACCAGAACATTCGATACATATAAGAACACCTAGGTTTAAGGACGCCCAGTCTGGCTCAGATGCACCACAATCAGCACATTTGTCATTCCCATATACTCTTCTCAATAAATCAATTGGCTTTTCACCCTTCATGCTATTGTCCATGTCTCGCCAACTTCTAGATATATGTAAATGATTTTCAGAGGCAAGACTTGTAGATGTGTTTTCCTCGAGTGCTGTTTGTTCAACATCTGCGCAATCCACATATGAACCACTTTCGCTTCCGGTTCCAGAGCAATAATCGACATATTCAATGGGACCAGCAGAAAGACACTACATGTGATTGGATTACGACAATTTAGATAGATACATAAATTAATGGCCACAACTATTGATAACATGCTTAAATTTTACCCTCTCCGGCGTCTGAAAACTCAACAGAGAAGCAATTACTCCATTTATTTTTTCAATCCAGTCCATTTGATCTACCGCACTCTCTGCCTACATTGATAAACAAATACAATTAAGAATCTGCTCATATATATTGATCCATTCCGTCCCTCACTTTCTAGTGAGCATTCGCAAGAGCATGATAAGGGCATAATTTATATTATGTTTATACCCTTAATTTACATATAATTAAAGATTTATTTTGATGTTAAGTAAATGAGCGAATAATGACAAAACTAAAGTCTAGTATTAACTTTAAATTTTAATTTCAATTAAATTCTTATAACTAAAGTTAGTAATATATTTGATTTGAATTTTTATTAATTAGTAATCTATTTAAATTTGATTTTGTATAACGCTAATCCCTAGTTCGTGGCATTGCGAATTTTAACTGAAACAAAAACGGGTAAGTTTTGTCAAAGAATCACTAGACTCAACAGTAAACAAGTTTTATGTTGATGTTTGGTTTGAACAGATCGATACCTGCAAAGTGTAGACTTTTGTTGGAGAGATAATCCTGAAGCAGAACCTTAAATCTGATTGATCAGCGTCAACCTTAATTGTTGAGGTCAAAAGATTCACAGTGTGTCGTGCTACAGATTTTTCATCATGTACACCCCCGTGGTAATGAGAAGAAAGCCACCGGCTCAGCAACCCATGACTAGTTTCAGATTGATTATTTCTCTGTGCGGAAGACTGATTCGCAGCTGCCTGAAATAGGACACGCATTCCTTCATTACCAAACAAGGACTAGAGGATAGAGAATTTACAATTCATAATATAACAAGTTCTTTCCCGCTAGCGACTCACAGAATTCCAGCTCCATGGTTTCCGATAATAATACAGCATCCCTCGGCTATCAAGAACAAAAAATCTTCTCTTCCAATCCCCTCTCAAATTAGAGGATCGCTTTGAGAGATATCCTTGTCGAATGGTTTGGACCTGAATATTATTTGTATTAGGGCAGAAAATCTTAACGAGATGAAAATGGAAAAAGGGATATCAGTGGGGCTTGTGAGAAGGGAAAAGGTTGAAATTTATATAGAAAACTACCTTTCCCTTGGCAGCAGATTGCATAGCTGCCTCTATCACTTTATTTGAATTCCTTGCAAAAGGTCTTGTTATACTGTCTCCCTTGGGAGAGCCACTAGAACCTTTTAAGGAATTCTTTCTTTCTCGATCAATCTGCCTTTTATACTCCTGCATCCTTTCATGAAGCGATTCCTGCTCATAGTTGGAACATTCTCTTGACTGTTGTGCATAAGCCAAGACCTGTAACCCAACAGTGAAACAAAAGGTTCACAGATGGAAGGAATAAATTTTTTTCAAGAGAAACTTGTTGGCTATAAACATGAATGTGGCCTTAGTGCAATCTCTTCAGAATTGAAGCCTACTTTAGAAGAGATGATTGCCAGAACTACTTTGTATCTTGACTTAGAGAAGGTTAGGAACCAAAATGTACCATTGTCAAATAACCACTTTAGGATATATATATATATATATATATATATATTTTTTTTTTTTTCCTAAGCGGCTTAAGAAGTTATTCCTCATCCTAAAGATGGTAGTAATGATAAAACCTTGCAGGCTCTGGCTCATCAACTGCATGCACATGTGTGTGCAGAATTCCAACAAGGCATATGGTTCTGATGAACAAGTTCAACCTGGTAGATGGAGGTATTCAAATTTTCTACTCAAGAAGCAAAAATATGCATCTCAATCACTTTGATTGAACTTTTGAGCTAAAGGGCTAAGCATGATATGTGGTTGCTCTACAAATATTTTATACAAGATTTGTTGGTATTAAGAACTGAGCAGCTGGTTCAAGCTACTTGGTCAAGATTGGGTCACTTTCTATGTGCACATTTATCAAATATGTGCTTTGTTTAAGGAAATTAAGCAGCCTTTCCTACATCTTATAAGGAAAAATTGGTAAAAGAGACCTGGTTAATGAAGGGTTCCATATGATGTAACAGTTCATATCCCTGCAAGGAACAAAGTTTTGAAGCCACATATTGTTATTATTTATCAGAGGGAAGAAGCAAATGAATTCTGAGCACATGATCGTATCGAACCTGTTTGAAGAATCGAAGGTGAGCGCCCATTGTCCCACCAACAGCCTCCAAAAACTCGAACCTTTTTTTGGCTTCAACATTAGAGAGAGTACTAACCTAAATATCAGAAAGCGTATATAGAGAGTAAATTCCTAACTGTGGATGAATTAGACAATTAGTTACACCAAAATTTCCTCATTGAATAACTTACTAGTTGGAAGCGGGCTTGCTCAAATAAGCATCTTGCACTGTGCATTTCCTGGAATATCTCTTTACTATATTAGGTTTTAGAGATGATGTTTACCCTTGAATAACTATCTGATCAATTAATTTCCACTAGATTGAACAGTGCTAGGAGTAAGTTTAGTCATTAGATATACCTCCTCTATGACAGCAGCTACATCAACCCTGGTGCTCTTCTTCAATGAAAGAAACTTCTCACGTGCCTGTGACACAAAATTAAAACTAGCATTGAATGTCACCATGCAGAAATACGAGATATAAGGGATCAATTTCATACATTCATCCAAATAAGTCAGCCGTCAAATTCGTAGTAAAACAGTTACTGCAGTTCTGAAATTAACCTCAAGAAACTCAAACTATTTGACATGATCTTATATGTTTATCTTTTTCTTAGATGGAGAAGATAAATTAAAACAAAAAAGTTCATGTCCTAATTTCCTGGCAACCAAGTATCCGAATCCAGAAATAGAATGGAAATCAGTTTGATCCTTCTTTTGTTCCTTCATTAAAAGAGAGGGGGAAGGGGGAAGGAGGTTGTCAGATTATAAAAATATTTAGTGAGATCTTCTTATAAGTTTTTAACTTTTGAAATGAATGGTAACTCAACATGTGTCTTATACACCATGGTGTATATTCGAAGTCAAAATTATCTGACTTGTGAAATTTAGAACCCACCTGATCGTATATAAGAGAAGCTTTGTCAAAGCGTTTCCGGGTTTCCTGCACCAATAAAAGATTATAGACGGGTAAAATGGAATTCCATTGGACAAATAACTGGGAAGGGCTCACCAGTGGATGAGAACAAAATAAGAAACATTAGTATTTTTGGTAATAATACGACAGAGAAATTTAACCTAATAAGAGTACACCAACTATACCATTTTTGCCATATTAAAATAAAAGCCCTAATCATATAAACACTTTGACATCACAATGCAATTCAGGTTTGAAGTTGTGAAGACATCAACAACACCATCTAATCTAATCTCATATTACAAAATGCATAAGATAGCCCTCAATAGATGACCATTAATTGTACAAGTTTGATGTGTCTTGATGGAAAACTTTCAAACAACAAGAAACAGAGAAGAAAAAGATTGGGAAATTCATTCTATCAGTGAGAAAATAGCCATTTTGGACATAGAAATCAAGAAGACTACCACAATATATGGCTTTCTGACTTGAACAACAATGACCAAGATGCAGTTTGTAGACAGAATTTTGTAGGGGTAAAGTCAAAATGTCAATATTGTTCCTAAATTCATCAAGCTGTATACAAATGGCAGGTATGATGATTATAGAATGCAAGTGAAGTATCTATAGTAAAAGATGTATCCAATACCTTGACATCTTGCAAATCAACATTGACAAATTGCATCAACCTATCATTTAGCATGTGCTCTACCTGCGAAAGCCAAATTTGAGGATGTTAGAAAAGGAAAGCAATTAAGCCTGTTCCCATATGTGGTAAGTCTTTCATTGGAAAAAAATAAAGCCCAGTTGCAATTAAATGATAACACAGAAACCCCGACTTTCAATCAGAGGAATGTAATAACCTCTCTGTTATTGCTGGAAACCATAGAAAACTATGTTGTAATGTTTAGAGATTTTGAAACCATGAATTACGTTTGAAGGTTGTAATCTTGTTTGGCATCGACCGATGTTATGTCAGGATTCAGGAATGATGCAGAAAGCAAGTACTATAAGAAGAAAGCACAACATTGCTACCTGTGATCGAAGAACTTCTTTGAATGTTCCAATTTCTCTCAAAGCAATTGTGAATTTGGTCATGACTGGGCCTGATGACACATAAATTCTCTCAGTCGTAACATCACTAAACATACAGAGCTATTAAATTTTTTGGAGCTAACGAAAAGATCTGTCGAACAAAAGTTCCAGTTTAAAATTTTCAGTAAAATTTAACAAAAGGAAAGAAGATAACAATGATAGGCTGTGCAAGAATCCAAGCAGCTTATGCTTAACTTGTTAGCAGCTCTTGTAGGCTCATACAAGCACAAGCCAAAATTCAAGTTCAGTGACAACTGACTTGCACAGAAAAGCTCAGGCAACACAAAGAAAAAAAGGTAACAAAATGCATATGATGACCTGTACAAGGATCCATAGGCTTACACAATAATTTGAATGTATCAAGCACAAGCCCAAAGCCGAGCTCAATCACTTGCCCAGTAAACCTCGGGCAAAAAAAAAAAGGCTTGAGTAAGTAACTCTGATCTTTATGTGGAGTAGTAAGATTTAAGATCCTATTATATACTCATAAGTTGTTGGCGCAGAATGAGTTCATAGAACTAAAGAACGAAGTCGACTTTAGGCTTCTCTTCTTAATAGTCACAAAATCATATTTGTTAGGATAAAGAAACATATTTGTTGGTAATGCGAATTAAACAATATGAGAAAAGCTGAGCTCAAATTTGACTGAGAGGCTCGAGCACGGCTGTTCAGTTCAGCTCAAGCTTGAACCAAGTAGAAACATGCTTCTGAGTCACACACCACCATAATGTTGGAGTTGTCGACTACTTCAGCATCAATGGGTTACACCGACGCATTCGGGGGTCTCGTTGCCCAGTGAGCGGGCAGGGGTCATGGGGGCAGCGCCCTCGGGCCCGTAGGCGGTTTGAGTCTTTTCCATGTATAACCGTTGAAAGATTTCTTTAAGTTATTAATTCCTTATTAGGTTAGACTTAGAAATAAGAATCCTTGTAAAACTAGGTTTAGTCTCTTAAAACTAGTACATAAACATATTTTTCTCTTATTATGAGTATGATAACAAATCATAGGACAATTCATTCATTGTAAACGAGAGAGGTGGGGAAGTATTGCAATAATATTGACTCGGCTGGACGTAACCCATATTGGGTGAAATAGAGTAAATCGCGCGTGTTATTTTCTTTTTATTTACTGTCTATGATTTGTTTTGTTGTTATTTTGTTCTCGTTGTTATCTCTATTTCGTTCACATAATGGACAAAAGACAACAAAAACATAAATGAAACATGCTTCCGAGTTAGACACCATCGTAAAGGGCAAATAAAATCATATATGAAATACATCCACTTTATACTTCCTTTTTTTATTGACAATCGCGTAAGTCAACCATGTCTCATTAAGCCTAAGCATCATGCCAAACCAAAAAAAGTACTTTTATGATATAAAGAGGTGCAAATGTCAAATGACAACACCTACCTCCAAGAGCAACACAAATAGGATCACCATGCCCACCGCCAAAAGTTTCAAGAGCATTTACAAAAGATATGTCTCCATCATGCCCTTCCCCGAGTGCTTCTCTGATGATTATAAGTAACTAAGCAAGTAAGATCTTCCAAAAACATGAAAATTGCCGGAAAAACAATACAGTAAATATATTGGTCATGTGAGTATAATGACACACTCATCATGGCATAATTTGAAATGTTTGAGAAGTTGGAACTTTTGGTTGAAACACCTAGAACAGTCAACTGCTCCAGTTTACATGATGAGCTTCAATCAACTAATTTTTGCTGACTAAACATAAGGTATTTACTACCATCAATGACCTTCACACAGTCCTCGCTTAAAGAAGCTCTTGGATATGACATGCCATATAATATATAGAAAAGAAAAGAGAGGATTCTCATGAGTAATTATATTAGACCAATAAAAGCTTTTCATTCTAATAGCTGTCCGATGCTCAAGATCAAAAGAAAAACCTCCACTCATAATTGTTCAGTGGCGGAAGAGTTCATACAATTTGGTGTTTTCCCTCTCCAATCATTTATTAATTCTTTGTATTCACTCTGTTCAGTGGCCAGAGCTGAGGGAAAGACAAGACATTAGGTTGTTTGTGCAGGGATGCTACCTCATTGCGTCATTTCGTGCAATTAAAAGGAAAGAAACAGAAAGCCACTAACGGAATCTAAACTCTAAACGTATATCAAGCTATAGAGTTATCTTTCGAGTATCAATATATTCAGCGAGCAGTTCATTCATGTCAAAAATAAAAGTTTAATATTAAAATATTCCATATGATCAACTAAAAGATTGAAGACATAACCTAAACAATGAATAAGCTTACGTGTACTTGCGTGATCCTTTGTAAAGCCTTAAACATCTCCCTCTCAATAA